GTGTGTGTGTGTGTGTGTGTGTGTGTGTGTGTGTGTCTGTGTGTGTGTGTGTGTGTCTGTGTCTGTGTGTGTGTCTGTGTCTGTGTGTGTGTCTGTGTCTGTGTGTGTCTGTGCCTCTGTGTGTGTGTGTGTGCCACGAGTCCCAAACATTGCGGGTTGCCTTACCTTTGCATTTCCCGTTGATGACACGCGGACGCATGCGTCTGGTCCATGGGCAATGAACCGCTTGCCACTGGGTGATTCGTACTCATATCCGATGTACAACTTGGCCACGCACGTGCGGTCTGAACACAGGGTGCGTAGTATGTCGGCGTTGTGGGAAGAAAATGATCAACAAGTGTCAGCAAAGCCGATAGGAACCGGCTCATAGGTCGCAGCTCCTTCTTTCACACACACACACACACACACACACACACACACACACACACACACACACACACACACACACACGTGTGAACACGTCAACGCATAACCCGCCCTCTGACGCGTACCTCGGTGTCGCTGTCGGCGCGTGAGGGATGACGGCTGCTGCTGCTGTTGCTGTTGTTGTTGGCGACCCTTCCTGCACAACACAGGCGCACGTGGCATTCCAACGTGTCAGCACGGCATCAACGTATCACTGAGAGCAGACAGCCGGGCAAAAATGAGTGAGCGTACGCTTCCGCAACACCTACCTGCTGTAGATTGCATAAGGGAGGAGGTGTTGGCAGCCTGGCAGGAACCCTTGCTGTTCCGCCAGCCCTGCGTCCAGCGTAATATGCACACACACACACGTGCGCACTGTAAGTACTAAAGCAGAGCGACAACGGCACCACCACAACACATGATGTCCACAAAACCATTTGGAACAAGAACAAGAACAAGACAGCCACAACCACAACCACAACCACAACCACAGCCACCTCGTGCATGTGCATACCTGATCGCGGCACGTAGCTCGCGCCGTCCCCAATGCGGTACACGCAGAAGCACGCGGGCGGCTTTGGGGCCTGCATGCATTCCGTTGGCAAGGGGGCAACACTCGAATCAGTACAAACCACGCAAGCACATGATCCCACAACACAAGTACAAGCACACACGCACAAGAGTGCGCGCACGTACACACACACACACATAAACCAGCAAGTGCATGCATGTACAAGCACGTACACACACACACACACACACATAAACCAGCAAGTGCATGCATGTGCAAGCACGAATACCAGCAAAACAGGCATTGCACGGCAAAACATACGCACGTCGTCCATGGCAGCGATGCCCTGATCGGGCGTTCCAAACGGCATTGTACTTGCGTCTCCAATATCAACAGCAGCGGCATCAGCTGCGTGCACTTGGCGGGGCGGCCTGCTCAGCGATGACGAGGAGGAGGAAGAGAGCGAGGGCGCTGGTTTGTGCTGCTTGGCGTCGCGTGTTTCCAGGGGAAGGACGGCGGATATGCACGCGCGGCAGCAGGCAGCCTCAACAGCAAACCGGTTGATCTGGTGCAAAACAACAGAAAGGATGGGTGGTGAGAGAGGGGGGCGTGGATGAATGAGGGTTGTGGTCACGCGTGTAGAATGACAACACAAGAGAAAGACAAATACGCGGCACTCAAACCACACAAGGCGCAAAGCACACACAACAAGCACACGCGCACACGCGCAGACATAAAACACGATTGTAGCGTGCACCTCGCTGATATGAAATGCGTCTGGAATGTCGGATTGCGATCGGCCGCAGACACACGCGCAGCGCAAGCGAACGCCGCTGTCATGCTCGCGCACAGCAACAGACCCGAGGTCAACAAGCTGGCGTGCATCGGCCGGGGTCCTGTGCACCGCATGCACGCACGGGTGGTGGGTCATGCTGAGGCGCTCGCACTGGCGACGGCCTGCCGTCCACACCTGCAGTCACATATGACCAGGGCATGATGCAATGTGTGCCGGGGGTGGGGTTCAGTGCCGTGGAGGGAGAGGGGTTTAGAAGAGGCGATGATACATGCAACACAAGAGATCGAGCACGGCTGAAAAGCATACATGCACACATACAAGCATATGCGTACACACCCACCGACAAGCACATGCATACACGCTGGTGGGCTGAACGCATGAGCGCACATATACAGGAAAACAAAAGCGACACACCTCATCACACTGCTGGGAAAGAAGCGAGAGGAAGCGGTGCACATGGGGCCCTTGTGCCAGCACGGCAAACACCGCGATGGCCTTGGCCAGGTGCTCCCGGTGTACGTGCCGCGAGTACACGGGCGGGAGGTTGATGTGATATTGGTTGAGCGCCTGTGGCAACGCGCGCTCGCACGCCTCAACGCTGTGCGTCGACAAGACATTTGATATCGCATTGGCGCGAGACGCTACGGGCGTGCTGTCTGCCGCTAGCTGGGGACCGGTGGTCAAGGTGGATGAGGGCTGAGCGTGATGATGGCCATCACCCTTGACACCGCCGTCTGAAGTCGCGTTGGCTGCACCACAGGCGTCGTGATGCACACCACGTGCCAACAGCAACCCGCAGAGCCGGTTTGCTTCGCTCAAAAACGACGTCGCAGATGCATACAGGCCTGTGCTGCCACCGCGCGCGTCCAACCCGCCCGCGTCCACGGCCTGTGCAGTGAACGCGGCGGCGAGGTCCGTGTCTGCTATTGTCTGCACGCCCTGCAGCAGTCGCCCGAGGAGATTGGCCCCGAGCTGCGGCACGCTCTCCTCCAACGCATCGTCATCATCGTCATCATCATCATCATCATCTGCGGCGCCGTCGTCATCGCGCATGTGGGGCCCGGCACCTGAAACATGTCGAGTGGCGTGGGGGCATGTGTGTGTGTGAATGCGTAAGTGTGTGTGTGTGTGTGTGTGAGGGTGTGTGTGTGTGTGTATGTCATGTTAGCAGCAGCAGAGCTGCGACGTGCTTTGCTGTGTTCACCTCTGCACATTCACAAAACTCACCCTGGAGCGTGAATGCACTGCCTGTGATGGTGTGCAGCGGGAGACTGAACCGGTCCAGCAGCGACACGACGGGGTCAAGGACACGCGATGCGTTTGCTGCGAGGCGCGGGGCGTCGCGTGGCTGGATGAAGAGGAAGTTCGGTCCTGGTCGCCGGAAGAGGCGCTCAAAGGCGGGATGCGTTGCAGCAGGGTCGCCCACACTCCGCAGCGACGACAAGCGCAGCAACTCCAGCGCCTGCTTCTCATGCATCTGCGCGGGAATGAGAGGGAGAGACAGCAAGTGAATGAGCAGTGTGTGCGCGCGCGTGTGTGTGTGTGCATCTACATGCGCAGAAAAATGAAATGCATGACACAGAGGCGAGACGGTGACATGACTCTTCAGGGCGTGTGTTGCTCTCTCCATACCGCCCGCACCTTGTGAAACCCGTTGAGGTTGGCCGGGGTGTGGCGCACAGTGAGGGACGGCTGAGCGAGGACCAGCAGTGATGGCAGTCGGCCGCTGTGGAGAAACGCATCGCCATCGTGTTGGTCCTGTTGTTCAACAAGGGGAAGCAATGGAACCACATTGACATCAACAACCACGGTAGGCAGCCGCCATCATGAGATGTGCGTCATCATGAGATTGGCGTGCAAGTTCGCGGCAGACACAAGATTGATAAGTAGCCACGATACACGCAACACAGATTGTGGGTTTGTGGGTTGAATGTGTATATGGAGAAGGAAGGACACACACCATCAGGGCTTTCTTGAGTGCCTCCAAGGCACGCAGCAGCTGCAGGCTTGATGGGTCCAGGCCATGCGATGCGTTCACCATGACAACAGTGGTGGAAACGAGAAACAAGAACAACATGGCGCGAAGGTAGTGGCTGTCCTTGTCCTGCAACAGCCTCGCATGCTCCTGAACATGTGCGTGTGTGTATGTGTGTGTGTGTGTGTGTGGATGTGTAAACGTATGTGTGAATAATTGATGACGGTGGGAACAACTGGGACAGTCAGAGCGTGCCACGTGGTCGTGCATGGCAAGCCAAAATGCAGGACTTGAGACTATGCAGCGAAGTTAACTGCGTAAGCACGCAAACACACACACACACACAAATGCACACACGCACACATACACACACACGAATGCTCACTCCTTCATGCACCAAACGCACGGATGAATGCATGGTCACTGACACAGACCTCCTGCGGGGCTGACAGTAGTGTGTCTGCGAGCGCGAGAAGTGCGGCCGGGTCCTGCGCGGCGCTCAAGGAAAGGAAGATGGTTCGGTTCGTCTTGTCATAGAACGCTTCCACCTGAAATCGCGCAGGCATGTCGCACATGGCGACGAACCAGTGCATTCACAGTGAGCGCGTGGGTTATGCAAGCAAAAACGCGTTTGTTGGGCGCTAAAGGTGTCTCACGAGCAAGTCCACGCAGAAAGTGCATGAGGAGCGCCCAGATGCACGGAACCGACGTTGGTGGTGGGGGTGCTGCAAGCATCCAAGGCTCCTGATGATGTTCCACTCTGTACAACAGGCGAAGTTGTGCTTGGCTGTTGGGTTTGGGAGAGGGCCCATTTCAAGCAAGAACGAGACATCGTGGGCGGCATTGGAGGACATAGGGGAAGAGAGCATACGGGTGAGAGGTGAGATGGGGAGTGGGCAGTGGGGGGAGGGGAGGGGAGGGTTAAGAGGAGGACAGGCAAAAATGTGTGCATGAATGTTACACACACACACACACACATGCACACACGCACACATGCACACACGCACACACGCACACATGCACACACGCACACACGCACACATGCACACATACACGCACGCACACACATGCACACACATACGCACGCACCCACCAGCATGATGTCGTTGTTAATGATGGTGTTGATGAGAGCTGCTGTACACGAGTGCCCATCGCGCGAGTGTCCGACGAAGGACACCACTTGCACCGCATCATCTTCATCGCCAACGACAGCTCTGCAGGCCCACACAAAACAAACACACGGTGGCGTGAGTAGGTTGGAACAAGGCAATCGCGTGTGGCAAGGTGCTCCATCGCACATCGGCATTCGAACCTTCCATACCCCGACACACGCACGCAAACACACACACGCACACAAGCACACGCGAGCGAGCGAGTGTGTGCTGGTTTTTGGTTGTCCGTGTGGCACACTCACCTCAAGCCTTCCGCTGTCAGTGGCAGCTGGAAGCAGCCCATGTCGCATCGTTGAGGCAGTTTCCGTTGTTTGTGTAAATCTTCGACAAGATTTCCGTAGAGTCGCGTTTGCGCGCCGTTTCGTCTTTGCCGCCACAAACACGACCACTGCACCACCCACGACCACCGACTGCACCATCAACACACACGACCACTGCACCATCGTCATCATGGATGTGATGAGTGCTCCGGAGGCGCGGTATGTGCGGGATGATGCGCCAGAGCAGCCGCCAAGGGTGACACGCAGCGCTGCAGGCATCAAGGTGGAGCGCAACAAGCAGTTCATTGTGCCATCCAGCCATGACTTCGACAGGCAGTATGCGCATGTGTACTTCACACGCTACAACTCGTTCAAGAAGCTCATCGAGACTGCCGCCACAAACAAATGGCCAAGCAAACGTGCGCAACTGAGTGCCGCGCTTGCTTGACGTGTTTGATGCCACCTTGCGTGTAGTCCATGCATCGCTTCCCTTGCCTTAACTTTTGTGCGTGTGTGCAATTGCTTGCTTCACAGACGTTGTGCCAAAGCTGCTCGACATCGAGAAGGAGAAGGAATGTGTTGTATTTGGAGTGTTGTACAAGGACATGCCGCTCAAACCCAACATCCTGGACGAGTACCATGCTCGTGAGGTTAGCTGCTTCTTGCCTGTAGAGCTGACGTGGCTGTGGGGAGCCATGTTGCTCCTGCTGCTGCTTTTGTGAGCCAAGCGCACGTGAGCGCTTCGCTGCCGCTACTGCCGCTACTGCCACTACTGCTTTGCTTTCGCTGGCGCTTGGGCGCCGCGCTCACTGCTTCTCCCTCGGCGGGTCATTGGTAGAACTATGAAGCGCCACCACCAGAGCGGTCAAAGTACAACTCCGATGAGGACGCGCTCGTGCTTGAGGATATGAGTGGGCGCATCGTGTTGATTGGCGATGCCCTGGACGTTGGCACCCATGTCTCAGGTACAGAGCCATGCTGCTCGCGTCTGTGTGTGTGTGTGTGCGCGTGTGTGTGTGTGTGTGTATGTCTGTCTCTGCCTCCCTCTCGATCCCTCTGTACCCTATCTCTGTGCTGTCGTCTTCTGCCTGCGTTTATTCCTCACCATACACAACACTGGCGTGCTTGTTCCTGCAGGTGTTGTGGTGGCTGTTCTTGGCAAGGCTCTGCCCTCTGGCGAGTTCCAAATTGCAGACGTTTGCTACCCCAGGTTCCCCCCACAGAAGGTACGCGCAACATGCTTGCATGTGGATGTTTTGAGAGGCGTGGAGAGATGAGAAGCGATGGGAGGTTTCGCATTGTCTGTGTGTGTGTGTGTCTGTGCGTGCGTGTGTGTCTGTGTGTCTATGTGTCTGTGTGGCTCTGTGTCTTGAGTTGTGTGTGCCTGCGCTGACGTGAGTTGCCAAATGAAACCATTCTGGCGTGCGTGACAGCGCCTGCCCAAAATCCCGCCAAGCTACGTGTGCCTTGTCTCTGGCCTGAACATCAGCAAAAACGACAAGGCCCGCCTCAGCATGCAGCTGCTCAGCGACTTCATCCAGGGCAACATCGGCAGCACTGCAGACCAGGAGCTCGCCGCCAGCATCGTGCACGTC